ACATTCCTTAGTGAACATACACATATACCGCGTTCATTATCTCTTAAAGGTAAGGAAGAAGAAGAGGGAGCGGATTCGTGAACAAAATTATATTCGAACTGACGTTTCGATCACCTTCTCGCTTCCATCGTCAGAGTTTTGTTGTAGTTGCCGTTTGTCACCTAGATTCCCTGATAGCTGGATCCTAGGAAAAAATGCCTGTGTGGCCATCGACTTCCTCAAATAATAAAGGCAGTGACACCAATCACAGCTAACAACATCCAACTCCATCCTTCAGAACTTTGTACCCATTTTAATGTGGGCTAACAGTGTAGTAAAAGAGACAGCGCGGGAACAAAAACCAAAGAATTCTGTAATACGATTTTGGAAGGGAGGGGATAAATGCATCGTATAAAAACATTGTTTATGAAATTAAATTAATGCTCGGTTGTTCTGAGTTATTTTTCATTTATCACGCGCTTCTTTGTAACTTTGTTTAATATTATAATATACATTTATGTACTTCTTAATGCGTTCCTTTGCTATATTGGTTTACTTTTCTTTCCTGTATCCAGTAATACTGAATTCGCATTAAAACATTTTTCGGTTTTTGGTTCTCGAGTTGTTACGCATAAGGGATTGCTGCCGAAGCAAGCACTCACGGGGGAGGGGGTAGGGGTCTGAGTTGAAACTTTTCGCAAGTTTGATGTCTGCTACCCATCTATTTGCTAAATAATAAATTATTTCTTCTATTTGGACTTTTCACTTCTTCTCCTTCCTACTAGTAAACGTTGAACCTTTTTAACCTAAACACCTGTGATTAAAAAATCTCATCCAATGGGGCTGGCAGAATTAACTTGAGGCGAAAGCGATTAATGGATGTTGAAACGTCAGGCGATTGAACGTTTTGTCACAGCGATCGAGTCGTCTTCTTCTTCTCAACACAGTTCCTAACCACGATGTCTGCCCGAGAAGGAAGTGCAACTTGCTATTATAGGTAGCACCACGGGATCCAAATACTTCAGAATTCTGCGCTACGTGACCGGTTGTAAAACAAAAAATAAATCACCATGATCACTGCTGCCGTTTTTCTGGTCATTTGTTTTCCGTAGTGTTAAGTATAACAGACGGACACCTTGGTTTTCCTGAGGCTTCGTCTTATGAACCAACGAGAGGAACAGAGCGAAGGAGAGAAATGGATAGCAGACCTCTGATGAGTTTAACCCGTACTGTCCTACTGTGTTCCGAAAAGGAACCCAAAAGAGCTTAGTGTTCTCATTGAAGAGGCTTTTTGCGCGTTTTTTTCAAAAACTTTGGTTAAACTGTTGGCCTGAAGTGTTAGCAGTAAGGGCATCTACCTTCAATAGAGAGGGCTGTTCTCACTAACATTAGCTTATCAGACTGTGGGTATTCAATTTGAGTTTTCTTTTTCGTGGAAAGCGCGTGTGTTAGACTCTT